TGTCAAAAAGCTGCAGAATATCCATGAATATCTTGCAAAGATGGATCAATCTGCAATTGTGGCTTTAATTTTCAAGCATAAACATGAAAGATATTTGCATTAATTTCTTTTTATCGCGAATTTACTACTTTTATTCTTGAATTTCAGTGATTTTGACAAGAGCTGTTTCTCCTTATTCATTTCGATTGTTAAACATTCTTCAGTTTGAATGGAAATCTTTCCCTTCAATAATTGCTCTCGTTGCGTATCAGATAATTATCACAAACGGTGAGCATCTTTGATCCTATCAATAAATATTTGTACAGAATATCAAGGCGAAGTTTCGTCACTTGCAGTGGAAACGTGCGGCTGTGTTTCGGAAATGAGAATAAAAGCGCCAATGGAGTTTTCTTGAGATGGCAAGTGTTGGGTGTTAGAAGACTCGGCGTGGTTTCTTTGGCCGACGCATTATGTGTTGTTGTGTAAAGGAATTAACGTTTAGACAATCAATTAGCGCCATAAAACAATTACGCAGTTCTGAGAGTCCGACAAACGGGCCACACAAGACGACTGCACTCAAGAGATTTCATCTCCCATCTACAAAATATAAATGGCTGGATTTTTTTTTTAATAAAAATTAGCTTTTTGGTGTTTTTGTCATGGTGAAGAGGCTGTTAAAGGGAAATCTCACGGACATTTCTCACCAAATGACTGTGGCTCAGCCTCTCTGTGGTTGTTGTGAAATTCCTCTTGGTAATGTGCAATTTTCTTGTAAGAAAGTGGCTGTTTTTTCTCTCCCCCTTTGTCTCAAGTCCAGACGAAATGCAATCACAAGTTGAGTGACAATCGGATATGTTGTATAAACGCATGTTGTCACACAATTAGCGGTCTTTAATTATAGCTGAGACGTCAATTATCGAAGATCTGTTAATCACCTTCGCACCATTCACTTCACTGTGATTCAATCCCATTTGAACGGTGAACATTTTGCGTGAGAAAATTGTGCAAAAGCCACATAATTTGTGTCGCGATAATTACGAATTGCAGGAGTGTTCAATTAAAATTATTGACACCCTATAAAGCCTTTTATTCCATTTAACGTATCGCGTTAGCAAGATATTGGACTTTTATTACTCCACCATGTCTTTGCCATGAGTCTCATCATTATTTTCTAATAAATTATATGCCATCCTGTGCAGCGGACAGTATGATAAGTACGAGCAGAAAAACATGGACTTTCACGAGTGCATTTCACAGACGTTTTTTCCCTTTTTTCCAATTTCCTAGGTGAGCCATTCTCAGCTCCTCCGGAGACTGGTTTGAGGGCACATGAAAAGAAGCACATTTTTCTCCAAGTGGCAACTTTTTTTGGCACAGGCAGATGGTGGCAGTAAATAAAAATGCACACATCATTTGTACATTGTTGATGGTTTTCATGGCACGTTGTCCCTCATGTAGCAAAGTGTCATATAAATAAGTTGGAATATATTTGGCACCATGGTGAATGGGACGAGAATGAGTCCTCTCAGGAGAGTGACTTTTGTGTGTCGCTCCAGAAGACCGCAAATTTCTTCAAAACTGAATTGTGACCCGGGAGAAAAGGGCACATTGTTCCCTTAATTCACTTAAGAGCGTCTAAAGAGTCTCTCGCCGTGCTGTATTGCGCCTAATAGAGCCAGAGGCTTCAAGTGGCTCCTGGGGTGATATATCTGCCTCGAATTGCACCTTTATTGCTATTAAATGGTCCTCTCTTGCAGGCTCTGCTGTATGTGCGGATAATTGTGGATGACGAGGGACCATCATTTGCTTCGCAGGGCCACAATTTTCCATCATCACAGAAAAGTATCATGCGGAAAGAGATAAATGCCTATATAACGAAGAGATGACGACAAAGAGGGGGAAAAGTGGCTTTTTGCCGTTTGATTTTTATTCAAAATCCCAAATCTAAACATTCGGCAGCTCTCGTCCTCGCAGCTTAATACCTTTTTAATGTTTATTCATCCCTCTCTCCTCGGGAAAAATATATCATATTGACTCACACTCTACGGAGGGTTGCGAGGCCATGAGATATAGTGGTTCGTAATGAAATGAATATATGCATCATTTCTAGATAAAATCTTGATCCACGACATTGCTCTATCAGATCATTTTAATCGTAATCTTCTGCTAACGAGGTGTTTGTTATATGAAATGACGATTTACAAAAGGGATTCCATACTTTTGAGTAGGGTGAATTTTTCAGACATGCAGAAATCACCATTATTCGCCCAGAAAAAGATTCTACCTTGATAAATTTCCCTCTTCAGCCCAACAAGGAGGAGACAATATGCCATTAATCTGTACACCACAGTTTCTGTGCAGAATCTTCAACTCTTCAGACACTTCTGAGTGACTTTGAAGGCGTTTTCCGAACTGATTTCTGTCTTAATTTTCTTGTTTTATCTTGGGAAATTGCTTAGAAAAATTCTGGCCAAATTGTGAGGTTAGAAATTTGGCTAAAAAAAATTCTTTTTAGGCTAATTTCAATACTTTCAAACCAATCACAATGTTTCTACTGGCTAATGAGATTGAATTTACAACTTTTAAGAGCAAATTGCAGAAATAACTAAGGACAAAGACAATTTTCTAGACTGAAATGAGGTATTTTGAGGTTATGATTGACTTTCAAACTATTTTTTACCCAATTTCAAGTTGTTATTCAACAGAAATGCACAAATCTGCTTAGAAAAACACAAATATTCCCGGATTAAATACAAATTTGATGATTTTAGGGGTCATTTAATCGCTAGAATCTGTCTTAAATCAATAACATAACCTAGAAAAGTAATGAAATTGATTTTTGTAGGCAAAACAATGTAGAAAATGCCTCAATTTCTTAAAACAGAAGCTTTTGTGAAGCAAATATTTTACTACATTAATTCCTAACACTTTTGTTATAGCTGTACACCACTTCCGCCCATTATGTCTGCCCCTTGGAGTCAGGAGAAATTTGCCTTGTGCTACAATCCAATTTGTAAGGTATTGAGAAAATGCAGACGACGAGCGGTCGAGCGAGATTTTCTCATCATCAATTACTCGTTCATGTACAATTGCAACTGGTTCATGCTATTCCGATTCAATTAAACATAATAATTTCACATGAGCCAATTGGAGTTGGGAGTCGCTATATAGAGTCATGGGCGAGGGGGGAGAGATAAGAAAATTAGGTCCCAATAGCAATTGCTGGACAATTCAACGAGCCATGTGTAGCTTTGGGTTTTGTGTGAGAAAATTTCTTGTAAATTTGCCATAGATCTTCGCCGGGCGATAAGGCCGAGCCAGCAATCTCCTCTTTTGGTACCCTGATGGGAGAGTCGTTTTCTGCCATTATATGCACATGTAAGCGTGTATTTGGATGGCTGAGACGATTTGCTGGCTATTGTCTGAGATGATGGCAATGATTGTTGCCAATAAACCGAATAAGGCAATTTTATTGTCAAAAATTTGATCGATCACACTGGCAGATAGGAGAATTAGACTTAACGTAAATTGACAGATTGCAGATTCTGGAGAAGAGAAGGAGCTTATAGGGGTTGCTGTGACGCACCCTGCGCAGTCACTCGACGCACACGGAGCGCGCGAGATGACTCTGCAAGCAGCCAAAGAGCGATTGCCATGGGAGGAAAAGGGATTAATTCTCCTCATTAACCGATCCCAATTATTGAGCATGCGAGCATGAGTCGTGCAGGAGTCTCGCAGAACGACACAAATCCCCTTATCATTTCGCTGTTGTGAGCAAAACTTCACTCGACCACTCGCATCATCCATTCCGGGGGGACTGAAAATCATAAATGGCACAAATTTCTCAATTTCCGCTGGGGTGAAAAGTTATCCCAGAGTTGTGGCGATGGAAGGCTTTGGAAGATGTTCCTTTTTGAGTGAAATCAACCCCGGCTGTAATATACAGGCATAATATTTCTACAACAATGGATGAGATGTGGCAAATGTGTTAAATTTGAAGATATAATCAACCCTTAAATTAAAATTCATTACCCCCTTTGTCCGTGTAATCGGGCCAATAGATCTTATTTGGCGTTGGATAGGCGTCCGTTGCTGTGTGACACCCTCCCATTCAATTTTCGAGGGTGGATTCCCAGGGCTGCTGATAGTTGATAATGAGGGGTTGTTTGATCTCACAAGTCCCCCGAGAGACCGACCTATTAATGTCGGAGGCCGAAAGTGAGGCATTTAGGAAGAAAATACGCTTATTTTGTTAACACATAAAAGCGAGAGATAATTTGGGATAAATGTTGTTCTTCACAACTCGCCTCTTGACACTTTTTTTTCTTTCTTTCCTATCCCGAAATGCACATATTTATATATAGCCTGGCACTCCTCATTACTTCCCTAATCGCATTTAATAAATATTAATTTATTTTAATTCCATTCACTCGAAGTGAGATTAAATTGCTGGCCAGATAAGCATCTTCATCAGTACATTGGGGTCTATTTATTGTGGAGTTTCAGTCATTAGTATGAGTGGCGGAGGAAAGAAGTGAATCTATGTGCTTAATTGTTTGGCAGCCAATGGAAGAGTGTGTGCCTTATGCTTCCCTATGGATGGGAATGATCTTGGGCTGTGCAGGAGCCTGCCTGTCTTGGCATCGCGGCCAGGAGCACTGCGGCTCTGAAATATATAGCTCGGCAGACAGGACGTCCCCAAGTTATTGGCAATTACACATCCTCTAAATCTGAATGCAGCAAATGCCTCGTGCAGGGCAGCGTGGGGTGGGCTGATGGTGTACAGGACTCGTCGGCTGTCGTCGCTCGTGCACTGGAGCACCGAGGGGAGCCACGGAGGAGAACGGCTCGCGTTGGATTGGCGGGCGTCCAATTGGGTGGGCGGGGCGAGCGCTCGGCAGTCGCCGCCTCGTGTCAAAGTAACCCCAGGCAACAGTCGCGCGACGAACGAGAAGCAACGATAGCGGAGTGTAGGGGACCCGGCAGCGCTTGCCACTGCTCAGCTTTAGTTCGCTGAAAGCCGTGAAGTTGTTTGGACGCAGCGCAGCGATCGTGGTCGTGTCTTAATCACCAGCCCAGATCTCTGACTGCAGTTTTGTGAGATTGTCGCCGCCAGTGTCGGAATACCAGGAACACTATAAATAAATAATGGTATTTTGGTTGCTCTCCTGAGGGCTGTTCTGTTCTCAATTTCGCACCGCCAATCATCGCCAACGCAATTGTCTAAAAAGCAAGGACAAGGACTTTGTGTGATTTGACTGCTTGACGGCAGTTAATCGATTTGTCTGTGTAATCAACATCTGTTCCGCTACCGTAAAACCTGGCATAAGTGCATAAAACGCGAGCTTTATGGGCAAAGTCGATAAAATGCGAGAGCACGAGTGAATTGCGATCCGATTGAGTTGTCGTGATTTGAGAGAGAGACTCGATGGGCTAATGTGTATGCAATTGTTGTACAGTTGGCAGTATTTGGGCGATTGACTGTTAAATGTGTCTTTAGTAAATAGCAATTATCGAGGAATTCTGGCGAAATTCATGATAAAATCATCAGGAATGACAGTGACTCCGCTACGCACGGCTATGACAAGCCCGACGGTTCCTCCGCAACAGAAGTCCAGTTCACGTGTCAGTAACTTCAGTGTGGCCTCGCTGCTGGCCGACACGAGGCCAAAGAGTCCCTCCGACGTGGAGATCGTCTCCGCCACCAATCTCAGCAGTCGGCGGCCGGCGTCCCCGCGTGAGTCGCAATCGCAGGATGGCGCGGCGACGGACGGCCTGGCCAAGAGCGAACGAATCTACTCCCCCGCGCACAGCTCCGCCGCCGACTCGGACGTGGAGTACGACTCCAATCAGGAAGATTCAATTGTCGATATTGAAGATGTGAACAACGAGACCAGTTCAATACCCGGTGTGGAGAAGTCCCAATCACTGCTTCCGTCACCCACGCTCTCCGGACATGTGCCGATTAGGCCGACACCGTTCAGTGCATTAGCGGCGGCGGCGGCCGCATGGGGCGGCATGGGGGGCGCAGTGCCTTGGCCATCGGCCAGACAAATACCACCGTTCGGCCCACCGGGCATGTTTCCCGGCCAGAGCTTCCCAGGAGGACCCGTCACTGGTGAGTGTCCCACCCACTCTCTCTCTCTCTCTCCCCTCGGCCACTTCCTGTCATCAGGCGAACCCCAAATGGCCGGGCAAGCATTTTCCTATTAAGTCAAATTAAATTAAATGATTGTCAATTATGGCCTCACAGCCGGGCCACGGTAATTCACTCTTGGGCCACCACTGACCGATGAAAAGGTCCAAAACAACTTCCCAGCGGGAGAACATTCAAATACATGCATCTTCCATAAATCTCGCCCGTTTTACCATTTTCTTGCCGTTGCGGCCCCGAAAATTCTCTTCGTCGCACACATAATGAACTTGTGCCTCAAATGCAATCTCACTAAGTCTGTCCATCCTTTGCGTGAAATGTGTGTGTTTGTGCGCGAGTTTTCAATGCAAATTTCACCAAGAACTTCAATGATGGTTTGGCTGTTGCTGCAATTTTATTGCATTGCCGTCGAAGAAATATAACTTGGCTGGTGGATTTCATGGCGAGTGTGTGTGTGTCGGAGCCTTTATGACTTCATTTGCGTACAGGCTTTTTTTTTAGCGTGATTTCACATAGATATTTATTGCCGTAAATTCTCTGTTAAATTGTATGTTTGTAGTACAAAACAAATTCAATTCAATGGACTCACACCATCTCTCTCTCTCTCTCTCTCTCGGCAATTTTCATATATTATGTGGTCTAATACACATTTTCCAGTGAAGAGAGTCTAACAAGATAATTCCACTGACACGATACAAAAGTGTGAATTGTGTGTTTTGAAGAATCTGGGGCTGTTGCTTCTGAGGATTGCGTGCTTTGATGGAATGCTGAAGCATTTCCTGGTGACAAATCTGCCCTTCCTGTGCCCGGAGATTCCCCAAAATTCAAATGACGCCGTAATGGGGCCTCGGCAAGTGGTGGTGGTGTGTTTGGGACAAGATAGAAACAATGGTTGGAATATCTCTGATCGGATTTGTATACAAAAGTCTCTCCCTTCGTCCATGCAAAACATTTCATTCCCACTGAGAGCCATTGAATAGAATTTCGGAATTCTCGCACTTGAGCCTCTCTCGCCGGGTGAATCTTGCCGTGTCTGGAGCGGCTGTCTGGAGGCCTAGGTATGCCAAAGTGACTATCATAGATGGTGTGAGGTGGGCAAACAATAGGTTATCTTCTCAACCTCCCTCAGTCCAAAGCGCATATATATAAAACTCCTTCAAATCAATAGTGAAACAAACACAGATGTTATTTGTTTTGCGCCCGCGTTTCGTGGATTTCAGGAATTTCAGATTCGTGTTGTTTTCTAGAATTTTTATTGTCCCTCCCTATTGTGGCATGATATTGAAAAATTTTTCCACAGTCGAATATATTCTAGGAATTTATAATTAGGCCCGTGACAAATGGGTGTCTGGCTGGGCTGAGATTGTCTGGGTCTAATAAAATCAGACTGTTTCATCGATTTTTCTCAATTTTCGACTACACATTATGCGCCTGCACACAGTTTTATGTCGCGCTATAGCGATGAATTTGGTAATTTAAGGCATGACATTTTCTCTTATATTGCACACACACAGTGTTTTTGCCTCCATTGAGGTGAATTGCCGCATCGCGAAAACACATGTCTGCGACTAATTGCATTGAGATTAGTGCGTGTGGCTGATGAATATTTGTGCAAATCACACTTTAATTCGGATGGATGTATTTTTAAATTAATGTGGCATCATCTTTGAGGGTCTGTCTCCATGATATCGCGTGGAAGACAACCTCAAGGGGCAGATATTATGCTCAGAAGTGGTGTACAGCTTCCAAGGAAGTGTTAGGAATAATTGTAGTAAAATATTTTGAATATTTGCATCACAAAAGCTTCTGATTCAATGAATTTGGGGCATTTTCTGCATTATTTCGCCTAGAAAAATCAATTTTATCACTTTTCTAGGTTATGTTGATGATTTTTAAAGAATTTCTGGTTATTAAATAACCTTCAAAATTATCAAATTTGTATGGAATCTGAGAATATTGTGTTTCTTCTTGGTAGAGTTGAGTTTTCAACTTTGGATTGAATTTAAGTAGCAGAAATTAGCTTAAAAGTCAGTCATAACCTCAAAAATGTCATCTTTGCTTATTTATTTCCGCAGTTTGTGCTTTTAAAAGGCAAATTCAACGTCATTATCTAGTAGAAATATCCCGATATTCGCATTATTTACTCATTTTCAGGTTTTGAAAGGATCAAAATTGGTCCAAGAATGATTTCTTGAGCCAATTTCCTAACCTCACAATTTGAGAAGAATTTTTCTAACCAATTTCAAGATGAAAAAACGATCATTAGATTGAGATAATTTGCATATTTTAGGGTAAGAAAGAGTTGAAGGAGTCAAAAGAGCGACGGAAAGTGGCTTTTGGGGCGTTGAGAAGTGTCTGAAGTGTTGAAGATTCTGCACAGAAACTGTCTTGAGGCGCATTATCTCCCCTTTGGGCAGCAGAATCGCGCGGCGGGAATGATTCCTACATAGTTATGCATTTCTAAGAGTCTCATTACACGGTGGCTGCCGTTTCATTTTGATGCCTATGGACCAGAGAGAGAACATGTGTGAACAATTAAAAGTCAAAATACCGTGTCACTTTCAACCGTCAACTGTTTTGTTGTTGATCGTATAATTGGACAAGCGACTGTCTCGATGACAGACAGTGATCTTGGGTGCGCGATGGCCAAGAAAAAATCCTTTTCTCTGCATCCACACGATCGTGCAACTGTATATCCAAATGTTTGCCCGATATTTCATGGGGTATTATTTGTTAGTCGTTTTTATTGCCACCGAAGCGGAGAAGAGGCATTTTTAAGATCTCGTCGGACCATCTCTGCTGTTGGTGGGCAGTGAATATTCCAGTCAATTTGCCTTCGTGGCCCCCTTTTCCTGTGGCGCGTCCTCCGTGGTCCGCCAGAGAGAGAGAGAGTTAATGGCTCTATTAACTTATAACTTCCATCAAAAATTTTTCAACAATTCTTAATATTATTAACATAAACAGCAAATTAAAATGCCAAACTTGTCGTTCAGCATCATTTGAATTTTATAGCTTAATTTGGGGCTTTGTGCCTCATGCAGTGTATCAACTTGGGAATCTTTTCTTATCGATGGCGAATTAACACTGAACATCTTCTCTGGGAGATTTGTCTCTAATTGATCCAATGTACGTGCGAGAGACGTAACACTGTTTGTTGTGATTGAATTGGAGAAGGGAAAATGGCTGAATTCCGACCTAAATTGTTATTAATTCGCTATACGTAATTAATCGCGCGTCCACCCAGAGGGGGAGAGATTTGGAGCTGAGAATGTCGTTCGCGCTGAGATTTGTCACTAATGAGTCAGCATACATAGAGGAAAGTTTAATGGTTACATTTGTTCACTGAATATTCCTTCACTCCGACCATTATTCAATCATCTCATTCAGCTTATGTGCGTGAGGGGGTCATTGGGCGCGATTTGTTCGACTCGGCGCGCAGAGTCCATAGAAGTGCGGCTGTAATTGGAAGTGACTGATATGTATACGCACGCAATTATAATTAAGAGAAAAAAGAGCATTCCACTAGCAATTAACACATACCGAATTCGGCGAATTCAAGTTTGCACCAATGGAGCCCACATCTCGAGGTGATCCGCGGGTGTTGCGCGAACGCCAGTCTCTCTGGCTTCATGGGATGCAATTGACAATAATGGGTCTGTGTCCTCCCTTTGCTGCCACTTCCTCTGTGGGCCACTCAATGAAATCCCACGGGCAACTGCTGCTCAGCCACTCTTGAGAATCTCTCGCCCATAGAGAGCCATTTGCAGCGAATCACGAATGCGGTGGTTTCCATAGTAAACGCCATGATCATCGCTACTCTATCCGCAAGAAGTGCCAGGGAAGGAAGAAGTGGTAAAAAAATTGCATGCAATATGTTTGAGTGAGTTTGTTGTCTTGGTCTCTGTCTGCGAGCGATCTGAATTAATTTATCTCGCAGAACATTAATTAGCAACCGTAATTGGTCGTGGCGAATATTTGTATTTTCATAATATAAATTTACCGTCCAGTTTCACATTAATAACACAAGCCTCTGTCCCCAGCAAGGGATAGTCTAGTTACTCTTCCTCTCCATGCGGACAGTGTGACTTAAATGCTTTGCCATAGCAGTGCAAAAGGGGAGGAACTTTTCATGAAATTGACAGAGGAATCGTTGCAACTTTTCACAGCTTATATTGCCGGCCGCCCGACGGCGCTAGTGTAAAGTATGAAGGTGAAGCTATGGGAGTTTATTTAATACAAATTGAAGCTGTCAAAGGCGAAGAATGAGTCCAACATCTTTATTCGTGACTGTTTCTGACTTTGAGTGTGTCTCAGACGGGATTCTTGAAGGATTCTGCTGAATAAGATGTCCAGAAAGTTGTTTTCGCTGTGAAATTTCATCACAGCTGTCTTTTCGCGCGTGTCGCGACATCTGGTGCATTGAAAAGTGCACAAATGACGCGAAAAATCAAATTAATCTATGCTAATGAATCTGAAAACATCATATTATTGTCAATTTCTTGGACATTCACGGGAATTTTCACAAATATTATGAATTACAATCTTGCAACGGAGTTTCACGAATTCATAACTTTTACGGCTTATTTTAAATTATATGAAAATAAAGTTGCAACGACTCTTTAGTTTTGCTACAGTTTCTTTTTTTAAGGGAGGAAATAACGAAAACAGAATGATTTTTAAGATAAGTGTCTAAAAAGATCGGAAGTCAATAAACTGTGCTCTTCTCATGGGCTAATCCTTCCCTTGCAAGAGTGTGACCCTAAGTCTAGTGCGCTATAATGACGACAGGAAGAGGCGAAAGAGCAAGAAATCTCAAATGTGTCCTTAACACAGTTGACAGTAAAACAAATAAACAGAGTAATGTCCATTATGAGGTTTTACGATGCCACATTTATTGAGGTGAAACGCACACCAATTAACATTTCCACCAATTAACGATATAAAAGAAAAGTCAAATGAAACAT